TCACCCCCGACGACCCAATCCACTCGTCCTCTCCCTCAAAATTTCCCCAATCTTCCTCCTCTCCCCCAACGTTTCTCCTCCCCCGATCCAATCCCAGTTCGCTAGGAGTCAATCCTCCAATCCAATGCAGTTGCTGGTCATCGAGAGAGTAATGGCGGCCAGTCTATATAAACTCCCAGTACGGTGTGTGCCTCACTGGAACCATGGCGGGCGGCGGAGCGGGCGGATGAGCGGAAGTCGGCGATGGACAGCGAGTCGAGGCCTTCGTGACGGCCGGCGGCGCAACACGCGGCCGCGGAGGATCTGGTTCTGGAGGCCCTCACCGTGCTCGTGCAGCCAAGTTTCGACCGCGTTTGCCCTCGTACATCCGTCGGCGGCGGCAATTCGGTTGCGGCGCCAAGATCCTTGACCTGGACGAGGACGTAGGGACTGATGGTGAAGCAGGTGTAGGCCGTGGAGGCGCTGTACCCGGCGCTGCAGCGGGTCATGCGGCTAACCAGGTCGGCACGGCAGCAGGTGTTGGGCAGGTCAGCGCATCCGTAGGTGTTGGGCAAGACGGCACAGCGGCATCAGTGCGTCCCGCGGCTGACCATGACACAATGGCCGCAGGTGCTGGGGATGTTGTGGAGAAGATGCACAAGCACTACTAGCTCCATAAGTTGGCTGGATGCAATCTTCAATTAGTTTGGCTGGATGTAGTAAGTATGGCTAGATATTTTTATGTTCTGCAAGTATGAAATATGTTCTGCAAGTATGAAAATCGATTCATACTATTGGAGTATGGAAGATATTATTACTATGGATGATCTATTGTTATGGTGATTAGTGTCCTGGTCTCTAAAAATATTTTTTGGTTATGGATGATCTCTTGTTACGACAGTAATTTTAAGTTGGATAAATGGTACTATGTTGATGAATAAACAATCAAGTCCTGATCTCTAAAATTAAGGCTTGACTGTTGTAATACACTCTGTCTCTGTAACTACTTCGAGTGCACAGATGATGGACTTTTAGATTGTCAAATTTGTTCAACTGATTTGACATGAAAATAACTCTGACTATGCATGGATACTTTAGATTGTCTATTTTTCTTAATAGAACTGGGATGAAGATTACTTTCGCTATCGATGTTAGATGATGCATAATTTCAGAATTTTCATTTTGTTCCAATTCTAAGTTGGATAAATAATTGGATAAACAAACAATGAATTGAATAAGCAGTTGGATAAATAATTTTAACACAATGTCCAGCATTACAAAAAGCTACCACTTCTACTAGTACAACTTCTAGGCGGCTAAGGTCTGCATCATGCTCTCATACAGAGATTGTAGTGCTATTGTTACAACATTTAGTTGGATAAATAAGGTATTATCTTGATGAATGAACAATCAATTCCTGGTCCATATAGCTACTTCGATTGCACAGGTGATGGACTTTTCGAGTGCACAATCATGATGATCTCTTGTACCAGATGATGATTTTGATCAACTGATTTGGTACGAAAATTACTCTAGCCATGGATACTAGATGACGGACAATTTACATTCTTTATTTTATGATGCATGGCCAGAGAGTAATGCTGGAAGTGGCATGAAAATTACTCGATTCTAGATGATGCATTTTTTTAGATTTTCAATGTTGTTCCAATTTTAAGTTGGATAAACAAATGATGAACTCAATAATAGTTGGATAAACAATTTCAACCCAATGTCCAGCATTACAAAAGTAGTCACATCTAATATTAGAACTTCTAGTCGGCTAAGATCTACAAGATGTTCTCATAGAGTTCGCGATCACAATCTAAAACATTAGGAAGATTTCCTGCACGTTCTAGGCCATCCTTGTACATGTGAGGGGTCTTGTAGTCGTTGCCTCCACCTCTCTTCATGACCTTAATTAAGCAGCTTTGTAGTGTAAGAAAAATCATGTTTATCTTATCGGCATCATAGGCATCATATTCCTACTGCACATTGCTGATTAGCTGATCTAAATTGTTAGAGACCAATCTATCTGACATGGACTGTAGTGAGGAAAATAGGCCAAGGTCTAGGATATTCATATCCGTGAGTTCGAAGGCTGTTGCATGAGGCAAATATCAAGCCCAGTTTGGGCAACAACATTAAGGAAACCTGGGTCATTACTTGGGACATGTGAGGGTGCATTGTCTTGCTGGATCCATATCGTCTCACCTGCGAGCTCTTAAGGCCAAACTGCTTGAATAGCTGGTAGTACCTTTTGAATCAAAAACTCCCTCGATACATCTCTCTTAACTGAGATTGTTTTCGTGATTAGTGTCCCTCTTGGACGGTAATCACTTCTCCTTGGCGCCGGCTCCTACAACCACCAAAGCAACTGAAGTTAGATCAAGTACTGATGTGCATAATAAATAAAAGGACTACATGTTCAAATTAACCTTTTTGATAAAGGGCCAAATGCCTATCTTCCCATCAAAATGCAAATACCTTCTGCATTGTATCTAGGCCTGGCTATAGCAACCAAAAACATTATTTTGCCAATGGAGTTCTTATTTTGCACGGTCCTATGTGGCTCTTCTTCCGATGGCAGCTTGTAGAATTTCATAGTCTTTTGAGTGGTGTTAAACCACTTTTCATCTATATGTATTATGTTACGCATATCTTTGAACGTCGGCCTATTTTGCAAACTTTGTTGGTCAAACATAGAGAGACAAAACCGCATCCTAGCCTTTTTGTTTGCTTCCTTCAAATATGGTTTGAGTGAGCTTGAATGCCTATCGAGCAAGCCGTCCGTAAACATCCTATGTAGTGTGCTTTTCTTCACACCCAAAGCTCTTGCAAGACTGCGTATAGTTCTCCTTTGGCTGCGAGGAATCTCAGGAACCATACTGAGGTCAACTACAATCCTTTTGCGCCCACAGTTTTTCGGCTTCCTTGATCTTACATCAACGGGTATGCCTTGTCGAAGGCACTCCTTCACTCTCCTCCAAACACGTCTGACCTTCTGCACCGAAACATGGAACATGTTTGCAACTTCTCTGGTTGTGGTCTTCTTTAATTTCCGATTGACACTTCTTGCTAGCAATTCTTCATAAATACCGGTCCTTTGCAAATCTGTTAAGTTCTTGTATTTGCCTTCATTATGAATTTGCTCATTATCTTGTTGCTCTTGCTCCACATAGATGTCTTCTTCTGGTGCTGAATCATACATGGCTTCATCTGCTGAATCGTCAAGCTCTTCTTCCTCAAATTGAATCTCTATATCGCCTGCATACACACCATAGTCTTCCTCGTCAACTCGAAGGTTATGTAGAGCTTCATCCATTGCTTGCACTTCCTCTTCCATGCTCTGGAAAACACCGCCTTGGCCTTCAAGTTCATGGTCTACAAGGTGAGGTTATGTGAGTAGTTTAATAAGATTATAATTAAGCATTCATATATGCTATAACTAAATTATTTTACTAACCCGATTCATCTGATTCATGCAGGTTCTCTTCTCCACGGGCAACATCGGCATCATGTTCCTCTTCTCCATGGGCAATGTCAGGCTCAAGTTCGTCCTCTATGGCGAAGAAGAATCATCAACATGTGCACATGAACAAGGAGAACAAAGGAGTAGATGATCAAGATGTACCTGGGTCCATGTTCAGATCGATTTGGTGACCAACCTGGAGCTCTTCCTCATGCAAGGGAGACTCATGTTCATCTTCTCCGGCGAATTGGTGGCCGGACTGGAGTACTTCATGCAAGTGAGGCTCAAAACCGACATGGAGTTCTTCATGCAAGGCAGCCTCAAGTTCGTCCTCTATGGCGAAGAAGAATCATTAGCATGCGCACATGAACAAGGAGAACAAATGAAAAGATGGTCAAGATGTACCTGGGTTCAAGTTCAGATCGATTTGATGACCAACCTGGAGCACTTCTTCATGCAAGGGAGTCTCATGTTCAACTTCTCCCTCTTCTGGTGCTATGTTCAAGTCAATGGCCATGGTCTGTCTGTGTGTTGTACTACTTGGTCTGGTGCTAGTGTGCCAGCTTTATAGCTGTGTATAGTCTCTTGGCCTTCTAAATTTGAAATCTGGGCTCAATTATGTAATCTGGCGCTTCTAATTCTATAATATGGCGCTTCTAATTCTATAATCTGGCGCCATATTGTACTAGTACTCCCTCCGTTTTTATTTACTCTGCATATTAGAGTTGACTGAAGTCAAACTTCGTAAAGTTTGACCAAGTTTATAGAAAACAATATAGACATTTATCATAATAAATCTATACGATATGAAAGTATATTTAAAAATAAATCTAATGTTGTTGATTTGTTATTGTATATTTTAATATTTTTATATATAAACTTGGTCAAAGTTTGTAAAGCTTGACTTTAACCAAAGCTAATATGCGAACTAAATAAAAACGGAGGGAGTACTCAGCTACTAGTTGTACATGGCGGGAAGTGCTGTGGCGGGAAGAAAATTCTGTTGGCAAACTTGTGTTTTACTACCCCTTCTCATTTATTATCAACGGGAATCGAAGCTTTGGTAAAGCTGTTGGCACCTTAATTGAGTGATGGGAGGGCTTTTTTGCAAAATATTTAATTTGTCTTGGAATACCCAGACGTTCACTCTTTGGCTGACGGAGGGAGTAAGGAATTTTCTCAAAAACAAACGGGATGCTGCACAGCAACCGGAGGAGAGGAGGTGCAGCGAGAAGAAGAAGCACACGGGCAGGGAGGGCATTTCTTCTCTTGTTTTCCTCACGAACCAATGGAATAAAAGCAGCAGCACCTGGCTCGGTTGTGCTCGTGTCGCATAGGCCGAGGCGATGGCGCTAGAAAACCGGTCGGGTCGTCGTCTCGCGACCGACCATAAAAAGGGCCCCAATAATGGCAGCTTTTAGCCCCACGCTAATCTCCCGTTCCTTGCCTCACATTTCGGCCAGGCCACCGCGTCCCACCCCGTGCGCCCCCGCATCGCCGCTTCCTCTCCTCCCCTTCCCTTCCGAGAACGCACGTCAATCCCGCCATCGCCATGGCCGCGCTGGCCCGCGCCTCGCTCCTCCGATCCGCCGTTCGACGGCTCCGGGCCTTCTCCGCGGCCGCCGCCGAGGGCGCCGCGCCCCGCCGCGACGCGAGGGCGGCCGATGCCGCCACGGTGGCGGCCGCGCTGGCTGTCGGGTCGGGGCTGGGGATCTGGCTGCTCCCCCCGTCGCCGCAGCCGCTCGCGGACTCGGGCCAGGGGGACTTCGCCGTGGCGGACGCGGGCTTTGGGGACGTGGGCGCCGCGGAGGAGCGCGAGGAGGAGAAGCGCAGGTTCCTCTTCCGCGGTGCGTGCCCTTGTTTTTGATCTCTCGTACGGCTGCACCCATGCATTATATAATTCGCAAAAGCTTTACAGCCTGATCAATTCATGTGCCTCTCACGCCTAGTTTCTGGTTGGAATTTTGCGAAGTTTCCGTTTGGAATTTTGTGAGCCAAGTTTCTGCTTGGAGTTTTGTGAGGAGAGAGAAACGATTTCCGTATGGATCGGCCACCGGACGAATAGCGCTTTTCCTCCGATCATATGCCGAGCGAACATTCTCGCCATTTGTTGTCCTCAATCAATCCTAATGCTCATATGACGGATTCCTGTAAGCGGAGCAATTGCTCACCGTCCTTTTTCTTCGCTTCACTTTGCAGACTCATATCGCAGAAGGGTGTTCTTCAACTATGAGAAGCGCATTCGGACGCGCAGCCCTCCTGAGAAGGTAACGATGTCATGCTGCATGCTATGTGATTCGATAAACTAGTACTGTTCTAATTGTGGTGTTCTCCTTGATAGATCTTTGAGTACTTTGCGTCCATCCGAAACCCGGAGGGCGAAGTCTACATGTTACCTGCCGACTTGATGAGGGCTGTTGTTCCCGTTTTCCCTCCATCCGAATCTAATATTGTAAGGGAAGGAAGACTCAGAGGGGAGCGCAACCCTGGCGAGCTACAGTGCGCTCCTTCTGAGTTTTTCATGCTGTTCGACACAAACGGCGATGGGCTCATATCCTTTGCCGAGTAAGTGGTTCTGACTTCAGCTGAAATGCCTAGCATATTTTCCATTTGATGTGGTATCCAATTTTCTACCAGATAGGAAGGTTTTTGTAGTTTGTTCAATTATTATCATACACTTTGTAGTGTAATACTCCCTCCGTTCCTAAATATAAGTCTTTTTAGACATTTCAAATGGAATACAACATACAGATGTATGTAGACATATTTTAGAGTGTAGATTCACTCATTTTGCTTCGGATGTAGTCACTTGGTGGAATCTCTAGAAAGACTTATATTTAGGAACGGAGGGAGTACTTCACAAGCCTATTGCGCTTGAATTTTCTTAACGAGCATGCATGCTTATAGATAATAATACATGTAGGTATATAGGTGCCACTATGGTATTAGGGCATTGAGAATGGGTTTTCAGCTCCCAGGTGCCTAGTCACCCTCTATTAACAGTAAAATAAAAAAATAGAAAAAATCAAAAAATTCTGAAACATTGCAACATCAAAGATGATCAAACTTTGTAGGTGCTTGTAAGTTTTCATGCCGGAAAACCATTCGAGGAGCTCTACACACGAAAAAGATTTCAGTGCTTGAAGTTTTGAGCACTTTTAGCACTGAAATCTGAACTCGTTTGCACACATTTCTCTACATGATATTTTGGCATGAAAACTTGCAAGAACCTACAAAGTTTGACCATCTTTGATGCCGCAAAGTTTCAGATTTTTTTCCTCTTTGTTTTTTGAATTTACTGTTCATAGAGGGTGCCACCCGGGAGCTGTTACACTTTTCTCTTAGGGCATTAGCATTTGCATGCCGCTACCTGTTAGTCTTACAAGTGTGGTTTCATACTTTCTGCAACCATTAGTGATATCAGCTCAATGCATTTCTTTAACTGCTTATGTTGCCTTGTGCAGGTATATCTTTTTTGTGACATTGCTTAGCATTCCTGAGTCGAGCTTCAATATAGCTTTCAAGATGTTTGACCTTGACCACAATGGGTAAGCTATCTTCCAGCCGCTGGAACCAATTTAAATGTATCATTTCACTCTTGAGATTGATATAACTCTGTTCTTCAAATAGTCTTATCTCAGATTAACTATGATGTTGATTTGTAATCTTTGTAGCTAGTGACATGTGAAGAAAATAAATATTCCTGCATTTTCTTTTCTGTTGAGAGCATGGCTAATAATATAACCACTTGCTGGCTCTCTCATTGCCACATCATTTCCAGTCAATCTAATAGCCTACTCATATATGTAATAGTTAGCCATAGATATATACTATGTAATTAGTTTATGTCCCACCTCATTCTCTCACGAAGTCATAAATCTACAGCGCACTCTTCTTCTCTCTCTTTTCCTCTCTCCTCCAACTCATCTCAAATCTGATGTGGTAACTCTTATAGCCTGCTTATGTCACCTTATTATGCTTCCTCTGGCTGGACTTGATAAGTTTTGGCGATTAGAATTTCTGATATGCTCTGGTAGCAAACAAATGACTCTATACATTTAGCATAAGTTCAGTAGAAGCGCATGCCAACTGAAAAAGTACTGTGTCCATGCGGAAACCATACATTAGATGTGTGGGGCTGACCTACTACCCATTTTGCTTTTCTTAGTAAGAAATCCAGCCCATTAGATTTATCAAGTCACTATATCATGGTTCTATTTTCAACATAGACCATACATTGAGTCCAAGAGGCCTGCGAATAATTTTGCGCAAGCAGATCACTGAGGCAATTTAAGCCTATAGATAGTATAGACCAAGTATCTAAGAATATAGCCCTTAGAATACCATGCTTTAGAGTCCACCTGGAACAAATTCTGATAGGGAAAAGAAAGATGTGGCACTCCTAAGTGGCAGTTCTTTCTTTTGCATTTGTTTTATTTTTTAATTTTAAAGCTCACTGAAGCCGTTAAAGGTATGCTTTCCTCTTTTCTATGGGATCTACGCAAGGATCCATTTAAATATTTCCGTGTTTGTGCTTTATTGTTGTTTACATGTCACCATTGGCGTGCAGAAAAAGACCTGCTTTCTGATCCGTGTTCAATCATCTCACTTGTTATTTCATGATGCAGAAGGGTATGAACCAAATTTGGCAAGATTTTTCTCTGTTAATTCAGTATTCTCATATGCTATTTATCATTCTCAGGGAGATAGATAAAGAAGAGTTTAAGAAAGTAATGGCTTTGATGAGGTCCTATAATAGGCAAGGAGCTGCCCACAGGGATGGGTTACGTATTGGACTTAAGGTTGGTCAGCCAGTGGAAGATGGTGGATTGGTTGAGTACTTTTTTGGCAAGGATGGCAGTGACCATCTACACTATGAAAAGTTCTCTGATTTTTTGAAGCAATTACATGACGAGGTGATTTTTTTCCTTCTTAATCTTTTGTTGAAATATTTATGTTTCAGCATCTTATTACTGATGCAACATTCTCAGTACTCCTGTGTTGTGGGTCATGTAACCCATTTTGTGCGTGCATGTATTCATGGATATTGTTCAGTCACCCAAAAATCCAGCATTCTGTTAACATATGTGCCAACTCAATTTCTAAGCTGCACGGTTGTCTCTAGGAACAGTGATAAACACAAGTAGGACATATCTTCAAATTGCATACTTAGTACAAAGAGTCAAAACACAAGATGTACTGAACTTGTTTTTGTGTTGTTTGATGTGTTGTCTCGGAAGCATAAAACCGTGTGATGGTCAAAATTTTGACGACACTAATGCTCCATCAATTTTATTTTGCACTAGCAGTGAAATTAGTGAAGCTTGTTTATTTTATTCTACCTTCTAATATCCACAGTGACCAACCCCCACAGAGACATAAATCCAGATCTATAAACCCTTTTAATGGCATTGTTTTTTGTTCAATCATCTTCAGATTGTTCGCTTGGAGTTCAGTCACTATGATGTAAAATCATCCAAGACAATATCTGCGAAGGACTTTGCATTATCCATGGTTGCTTCTGCTGACATGAATCACATAAACAAGCTACTTGACAGAGTTGACGATTTTGATGAATCTCCTGATGTCAAAGATCTGCGCATTACCTTTGAGGTTTGACAGTTTGCTATCCGATATCCCGGTTATATTTCTTGAGCCAACCGTGTTTTAGAAGATCGTTGTTGTTATTTGGAAATTCAGGAGTTCAAGGCTTTTGCTGATCTGCGGCGAAGATTGGAACCATTTGCAATGGCTATCTTCAGCTATGGAAAAGTAAACGGTTTGTTGACAAAGCAGGATCTGAAACGTGCTGCAACTCATGTATGGTCTTCCATAATTGTACTTATAGATGTAGTCTGAAATACCTAATTTCACTGGAATTATTTCTCTTGAGCTTTCTAACGACAATCACTGGCCTTCTCCCACCGTATAGCCATTCTAAGCTAGCTGGACAGTTAGCTGATACCACTTGGTTATTAGTTCGGATTTTTCAATTGTTTTAATGATCTTTTTTTACAGGTTTGTGGGGTGGACTTGACTGATAAGGTGGTGGATGTCATTTTCCATGTGTTTGATGCAAACTGTGATGGGAACCTAAGCTCAGAGGAGTTCTTGAGGGCACTACAAAGACGGGAAAGCAATATTCGGCAGCCCACCACTCCAGGTTTAATGGGGGTATTCTCCTGCTGGCTGAACTGTACGAAGTGTTCTTTTCAACAGATGCTGCTTCAGTAGAATATATCTTGATACTAACAAGATTAGCCTTCTGTCGCCCTGGGCCACTCTCTATTTGATGTACGTAGGCCACGCTCAACCTATATGAAGTTAGTTACTTCTGTCGCATAACATTCCACTTGCATACATAGCTGGTGTCTCTGATGGTTTTGGTCATGGCAGGAGCTGGAGAACGAGTACAACAACCGCTAGATGTCAGCAGACACTATTTTGTTGTACATATTGTCCTGCTGATCAAAGTTGTCCAATTATGTAGTAGCTGTAAATAACCCAATTCTGTTCTGGCCCAAGGGCTCAGTTGACAGATCTCTCCCACTGATGTAATGAACCTGTGACTTTGAACCTCGTTTACTGTCTCCCAACTCCCTGTGTCCTTGTGTTCTCATGACGGCAAGGGCTTACTACCAGACAAACATATGCAAGAATAGTCGACTAGATCTTTTGTACTTTTATCTTCAAATTTCTCCTGTTACTCATCAGGTTAGAAACTATACTCCCTCCGTAAAGAAATATAAGAGCTTTTAGATCACTATTTTAGTGATCTAAACGCTTTTATATTTGTTTACAGAGGAGTAGCTTTGTGCGCTTCCACTTTTTTTGGGTGTCAAATACACCCTGCGTGCATATTAGGTTTTCCAAAAGTCAAATATTTCTATGTTCGACCAGTTTCTAGAATAAGTTATATCAACATTTAAAATACTAAATAAATAAAATATAAAAGTACACTTCGTAAATCTGATGGTACTAACTTTGTATTCTGCATGTTGATATTTTTTTTCATATGTTTTGTCCCATCGTTTGCAACATTTTTCCTATCGGTTGCAACATCGTCTTGCTAGTTGTAGCATGTTGTCCGTCACTGCTTGTAGCACGTCATCTCACCGGTTGCAACTTCCTTAATTGACGGTTCTAGCATTTTTTAGTTAGAATGGTTGTAACATTTGTTGTTATAATACCGTCGCAATATTTTTCGTTGCCGTTTGTAGCATCCAGCCGCGTGGCAAAGAAAAAGAACTATGCGGATGTCACTCGATTGATACTTTGTTCAGTAGTATTTGTCGACCGAGTTTTAGGCACATCCTTTGTCAAACATAGACACGTTTGACTTTTAATAAACAAAATATGTACTAGTAGTGTTCAATTCAGTTTCATGCAAATAGCACTGTGACCAAAATTTCTTCCGACCGATAATTCCTACAAAATCAAATACTACACACGATAGATGTACATACAGACACCGACACCGGGAATCAGTATGGTAGCCTGACGTTGAGCCTCCTGAGCCAGATGGAGTGCAGCACCATGTGAATCATGTCGAACCGCCTCGCCGGCCGGTGGAGCACGAAGTGCCGCTGCGCCTGCAGCACCCTGGCATGCAGCACACGGTACCTCCTCTCTGACACGCCCCGCAGGATGACCTTCAGCTCCGGTATCCTAGCCGCCGGCACCGTCACCGACATCTTGCTCCAGTCCGGCACGTCACTGAAGGGCAGCGGGTACCCCTCCGAGATGATCACCGGCACGCAGCCGGCGAAGACAGACTCCACCACCCTCGGGCTCGCCACCTCGAAGCCGCTGGGGCAGAGGCAGAACCGCGCCCTGGCCATGAGCGCGTGGTAGTCCTGCCCGGCGTGGAGGTACTCGTGGACGTGCATGTCCGGGTCCTCTGCCGACCCAGTGCTGCAGGAGGCTCCTGCGTATCTCGCCGTGCATCCCGCCGGCGAAGAAGGCGAGTGTCGTCCGGTTCTCGGGCGGCAGGCCGAACGTAGGCCTGCGGAGGACGCCGTCGGCGAGGTTCACCTCCGGCAGCGTCGCGTCCTTCCTGGGCCTGAAGCCCTCCGACGTGTTGGCGTTGCACAGAACCCGGATGGTGTTGCTGTAGAGCTGCCGGTTCCCCTCCGAGACCAGCGGCGCCCAGTCGTGGCACGACACGAGGACGTGGTCGGCGCCGCCGGACCGGTTCCAGTACGGGTGCCTCTCGGCGACGACGTGGACGTAGTCCGCGACCAGGCGGCGCAGCGGCGCGAGGTAGGCGGTGGTGTTGAGGCGGTAGACGTAGTGGACGAGGTTGCACACGCTGATGGGAAGCAGGAAGACGTTGGCCTCGACGGGGCGGCGCGCGGCGAAGCGGTTCCGGGGGTCCTCTATCTCGTACAGGAACTGGCCCTCGATGGAGTAGATGTCGGTGCCCGGCAGCCCGGGCCGAGGTGCGCCAGCGGCGGCTCCCCCTCCTGGTACGTCCATATCTTCATTCTCCTCTCCATCTCCACGTAGCTCCTGAGTCAGATTCACCGCAAAACATCAGTCGCTTAACTTTTTTTTAATGACGATACATCATCGCCGTTGTTTCCTAAAAAAAAAGCTACAGCTAGACAGGTACGACGTACCTGTGGAAGGCCATGGCGTTGCGGTAGATTGCGCCTCGCGGCGCAAAAGCGTCGCCGACGTCCCTGAAGCTCCGTATCCGGCGGACGCTCTCGTCCCTGGGCGCGCGAGTCGCCCGGCGGATGGCCGCCCGAGACCGAGCCAGGCCTTCCTCGATCACGCCTTCAACCACCTATACTAGATCGGAAGCGCGCCTTGGCACGCGTTGCCCGCCTGAGCACCGTGACCCAGCGTGTACAGATCTTGTACATTCAAGAAAAATCACAGCATTCTTTCAGTACTAAGGAGCTTAGTATAGAGCACAAACAGTAGAGATATACCAAAAGCATGGTAATCTGAGTATACTAAGTCAAAAGGATAATTAATTTGCAAGCACATGACAAAATTTGTTCCAAAAAGCCAGTGCCAGATAGGACAAATTGTTTGCATCAAGTTTAGTAGAAAGCAAAAAGATTCAAGATACCAAAGCCTGAATGTTAATCTCCAAATTCCAGAACCATACATCATTGACAACATAATATAATTAAAATAGGAGAACTTAACATATATGCCATTTCATTATTTATAAGACATAAACAGAACAAATAGTCTCATATTAAAACTATCAGTAGCATGACAAAATAAAAGGAGATTTATGTACATATCAGAACTGAGACTCTAAATCCCATGTCTCAGTCATGAAATATATTCTTTATCAGATTTGAAGTACCATAATGGGCTAATAATCACCGTCAATGTAGTACATCATGCCTTTTTTTTTCTTCATATATGAACTGGACTTCTCTCTTAAATACTCAAATTTCATATCAATGTCTCAGTCGTGAAATATATTCTTTATCAGTTCTCATCGAAACCACTCCATTAGTAATTCGAAGCTATGTTTTCAAGGCGTCGCCTAGGCGTCGCCTAGGCGACGCCTAGGCGTCAGAGCGCTCGCGAACGTCAAGGCGTCGCCGTCGCTTTAGTTTTTTGTCTAAGGCGTCCGCCTTGTGCTGTTGAGGCGTCCAAGGCGTCGCCTAGGCGTCCAAGGCGCCGCTTTGCTTGATTTTGGACGCCCTGGACATGCGCGGGCAGGTTGAGCGGGAACCAGCAGCTGGCGCGCGCCAGAAAGAGGAATTGGCGGGAGGGAAGAGAAATTGGGCGGGAGAGAGGGGGTAAACAGAGGCAGGAGAGAGAGGGGAACACACCTGTGACTCCAAATCGAGGGGAAAAGAGAGAGGAGCTCTCTCCTCTCAGTCTCTCACGCCGCCGGCCCAGATCCGTTCCTCCTCCGCCGGCCTCCCCCTGTCCGGCCAAGCTCCTCCTCCGCAGGCCCTTCCCCTCTCCGGCCAAGCTCCTCGGCCGCCGGCAGCCCTCTCCCAAGGTACGGCTCCTCTCTGCCTCTCTTTTCCCCTCACCTGCCCATGTTTTCTGATGGTGCTGCTGCTTGTGCCTCACTGCTTTGCCTCTAAGCTAGCCCTCTGTTTAGTATATGCATGTGTAGATGTGGTGCTGTGCCTCTGCCCTCTGCCCACTGCCCTCTATTATAGTAGTGTTAGCTGCAAGTTGTGATTAAAATAGATGCTGATTGTCCTTGTTAGCTGATTAGAATAGTAGGTTAGTGGATCTTCTTTATACTAGCTTATTATTAGAATAGTAGCTGTTTGTCCTCTGTGGCTCTGCCCTCTATGGCTGTATTATATTGTTAATTGTTTGCACTTTGCACTTTGCAGTCCCACAATGGCAGATTCAGGAGCTGATGGGGGTGGTGATGCTTATGATCCAATGAAAGATCCAGAACGCAGGCCACGGAGGTCAAATGATCCAGGCTGGAATTATGGGTATTGGTTGACACCTGGCAACAGCAATAATGTTGTGTGCAATCTTTGTGGCAAGATAACTAAAGGAGGGATCAGGAGACACAAAGAGCATCTTGCTGGCACCGGTGGGGATGCAACGGGTTGTCCAAAGGCTACCACACAGCTTAGGAGGGAGATGTTAGAATATTTGGAAAAGAACAGGAGAAACATAGGACAGCCAGATGATGATGATGATGTAGTGGAGGTAGATGTAGCAGGGACAGTTCAAAGCTCCACTAATGAAGCAACAGCTCAATGCTTCGCTACAAGACCAAGTTCAGGGACAGCAGCCAAGAAGAACAAGAAAGCCTTTGCAGTAAAAATATCAGGCAAAAAGTGTCAATCTGTTGCTCTCAAGTCAATTGTTTCCATGCTTAGGAAGAAACCTGAGGATGTTGTCGATGAAAGACGCTCCGGTTGCTCTCAAAGCACCATGGAGTCCAGCACAAAAACACCGGAAGAGAGGCACTATGTGAGTATGCAGTGGGCATTGTTTTTCTATGAGTGTGGCATTCCTTTCAATGTTGCAAGCTGTAGGCAATTCCAGATTGCAATAGAAGCCTCTTGTCAATATGGCCCAGGTTACAAGCCTCCTTCTCCTCATGAGCTGCGAGAGCCATTGCTTAGGGATTGTGTCAAGGAAACAAAAAAGTTGAGGGTGAAGCACGAGGTAGCATGGAAGCAATATGGCTGCACACTAATGTCAGATGGCTGGTCCGATAAAAGGGGACGCCACTTGATCAACTTCCTTGTAAACAGCCCGGCGGGCACTTACTTCTTGGAGTCGGTTGATGCATCAAGTGAATGCCAAGATGCTCGGATGATAGCAGATTTGCTAGAGAAGAGAATCGAGGATGTCGGTAAAGAGTATGTTGTCCAAGTTGTCACCGACAATGGTGCTAACTACAAGGCAGCGGGTAAGATACTAATGGAAAGGATTCCTACACTATATTGGAGTCCATGTGCATGCCATTGCTTGGACCTGATGTTGGAAGATATAGGGAAGCTAAAGCCATTTAAGAGGCCTATTGCACGGGGTAGACGAGTCACCACTTTCATCTATAGGCATGGCAGAATTCTTAGTCTAATGAGGAAGGCAACGGGTGGGCTGGATCTTGTGAGACCCGCAGCCACTCGCTTTGCCACATCCATTCTTGCTCTTAAGAGTTTGGTCAAGCACAAGCAAGCATTGAGGAGTCTATTTACATGTCAAGCATGGGTTGGAAACAAATTGGCCAAAACTGCAGCCGGTTTGAATGTGCAAGACATTGTGCTTTCAGCAGATTGGTGGCATGCAATTGAGGACTGCCTTAGAGCTTCAGGTCCACTACTTCGAGTGCTTAGGGTAGCGGATGGTGATGAGATTCCTGCCATGCCAGAAATGACAGCACTAATGAGGTTTGCAAAGGAGAAGATCAATCAAGGTTTCCCCCACCAAAACAAGCAAGCTTTGCTCAAGAAGATCATTGACATTGTTGACAAACGTTGGGAGAATCAAATGGATCATCCATTATATGGGGCTGCTTTGTTTTTGAACCCTGGAAAATACTTCTCTATTGCTGAGAGTGGTGATGATGCCCTAATTGGGGAGCTAAGAAGTTGTTTTAATGATGTCCTTGCACGAACAGTACTTGATGTCAATACTCGCAACAAGATTGATGCACAAGCCGTTCTCTATGAGGACAAGAGAGGACCCTTTGCTAATCCGATGGCAATCGATAACATGGTCCAGAAAAACCCTCGTAAGTGAACTAAAGTTAATTTCAGCAACAAGCAAGTTAATTTCAGCTTGTTATTTTCTGTACAAAGTATAAACTCCTAATGCATGTGTGTGTTTATTTTACCATTTTAGTTGATTGGTGGCGTTCATATGGTGGTCGGGCAGTTGAGCTACAAAGGTTTGCAAAGCGTACTGTTAGTCTTTGTGCTTCATCATCCGGCTGTGAGAGGAATTGGAGCGCATTTGAACATGTGAGTAACTTCTTTGTCTTTATTTCATCAAGAGAAAGTTAGTTTCAGCAAGTAATCTCAGCAAGTTATTTATTCACTCTATTTGCTATTTGTAGATCCATACCAAGAAAAGGAACCGGTTACAACACCGACTCTTGAATGACAATGTTTTTGTTTCATACAACCGGAAGAACTTGGATAGGTTTCAAAAGAGGCGTGAGAAGATGGGTGGCAATAGCTATGACCCTCTAGTCATTGAGGATTTTGATTGGGGCAATGAGTGGGTTGACCCAACAATACCTCCACCCCAAGGTGCTCGAGGGTGTCCCGATGACATTTCATGGGAGCTTGTTGATGAGGCTGTTGGTGCAAGTTCGTCGCTGCAAGGTCGCAACTTTCCTAGAGCTAGCACCATGGCAAGGGGGGCCTCAAATGTTAATGTCCAGTACCAAAGGCAGCGCAAAAGGGCTGCTCCGTCACCAACATTTCTTCATGAAGATGACGAAGAGGATGACCAAGAACAACAACCAAGTATCCCCAATGGAGAGGATGATGATTCAGACTTTCTTCAAGATGATGTTGATGTGACCGATGATGATGAAGATCCAACTAGTGCTGACCAAGATGGCGAAGACAACACAAATACTACCATCGATGAGTTCGATGATGGCTATTGAGAATTGAGTGTGGCCAGCCTTGCTTATGATCATGTGTTTGCCTGTTTGGAAGCTAAATTTATGTTGTGAACTTGTGAACCTAAATTATTGTGTTGTGGACTTAGTTTATGTAATATGTAATGCACTCATGTTTGTCATCTTGTTTTGCACTTGCTCTGTCATCTACTCTGTTTTTTTACCAATGGTGATCTATTAATTAAGTTTAGTTTTAACCATATATGATATATGTTCATCTTTATGCAGATTTCTATTGTGGAAGGCAGAAATGGGAAACAAGATGGGAGGAATGGATGCTATGTGGGCTCAACAACCAGGAAATTCAAGGTATGAATCAGTTACATGTCCACTCATGGCTGCCATATTAGTACCCCTAGCGCCTAATAATAAGTGTCTA